TGCGGTCGAGTTAATTTCTTTAGAAAAATCTTGGTGTACACAATTTGGTGTACACCTTTCGTACACTCGTCTGTCACACACACACACAAAATTGTCTGTCCACAAACAAACACCGAAATATAGAATGAATGAATAAACAATTCTCCGTATTATAATTGGGGTAATTTGAGTTTGCACCCCAAATTATTGTCTAAATTGGATTTTGCACCCCGTTTTTTAAACTCTTTGTTTTTGCACCCCAACCCCATATGAAAAGACAGAAATGCCACTCTTTTAACAATTTTGTTGACCTTCAACATATTCCTGATTGAGGGCATTTTTGTCTTTTCATATGGGGTTGGGGTGCAAAAACAAAGATTTTTAAAAACGGGGTGCAAAGTCCTATTTAGATAATAATGTGGGGTGCAAACTCAAATTATCCCATTATAATTCTCCGTAGATAAAAGTAAACCGACAAGTAATATGAGCATCTAATCTTGGATCAAGAGTTTGGATATTTTTTACTTTGTGAACATTCGCCAAATATTCTTGACTTTTGAGGTACCAACAAAGTGTGTGACGATTTATTTAGGTGACTCACCCATTATATTAGTCTATTACATTAGTCTATTACTATACGCTATTACTAATTACATTTATACTTCCTATTTTACATGACCCGGGTCCGCTCTAGGTAACATCTGGGCCGGGTAGGGCCAGACCGGTCTAGGACCCGATTACCGGGTCCGGGCCGATTCAAAACAGTACTAGGCCGGGCCGGTTCAAAACATTACCGGCCGGGCCAGGCCGGTCGGCCTGGTTGTGGTCCATCCCTAATTATTACTACCTCCATCCAATTCCACCCATTAGCATTGGTAAATAAGGAGATAGTGGGATTATTAAAAAATGGTTTTATGGATTGATACTAAATTGATAAAGTAACCGGATAGAGGAAATAATTTTTTTCATAATTCTTAGATGGTCATATTTGGAAAGACAATTAAAAAAATTATTGTAATCTAAAAATACAACCTATAAAGTCAAACTAAAATAAACAATTCTCGTACCCGTGCTTGCATGTTTCATCTTTGAGCGGAAAAGTGAAACCAAAGAAAGTTCATACCAAAGATGAGGCAGCTCGGTTTACAGTTTTACACACAAAACCATCCCCTATCTTCAGAAAATCAGTAGCAAAAGTGCAAAACATGCAATCAAGCAACGTTAACAAAACAAAAAAAAAAGGCTGCATGTCTCTGATATTCCTGATTCCAAGACCACCATCTTCATATGGATAACAAAGCTTCCTCCAGCTCTTCCAATGAAACCTGTCAGAACTCTCATTAGAGCCCAAAAAAAGGAGGCCATTTTCCTCTCTAGAATGTTCATCACACTTAGAGGTAACTTTGAAACAGCCATAGTATGTATAGGAATAATAGCCAGAACATGTTTAATAAGAATTAGTCTACCACTTTGAGATAGGGTCTTCTTCTTCCAGCTTGATAAAAGTTTATCAAAAGAATTAATGAGATCCTTGCAATAGGTAAACCTGTTAATTCCTTTATGAAGATAAACACCAAGATATTTGATAGGCAGTTTGGAACATTTCATATCCAAAAGCTCTTCCAACTGCTCAACTCTAGTATCAGGAAATTTAGAGCTTATAATGAGGTGGCTTTTATGATAATTAACCGTTTGCCCTGAAGCTTTTTGATAGGATTCAAGAAGCTGCTTGAAAGATAATGCGGCAAAAAATTTATGTATAAAATGTAGTATTTTTCAATAATTTGTTTAGCTGACTTCTCAATCGAACTTCAAGGTGAAATTTTGTGGACATAATCTAAACCTCATGAAGACACGTTCAAAAAAATTGATCATAAAACCACCGAGAACATTCTCAAATCGCGGCGGCTAGACGGCGGTTCTCCTCCAGAATTCCAGTGGTAAACTTTTCTCCTCCATAATATATATAAATACTATAAATTTAGGACTTAATTGCAATTAATTAAATGAATATTCACTATTTGGACTCAATACTCGGTAGTAATCAATTGAGTAAATACTACGTATGAAATTAGGACTTAATTGCAATTAATAACTATTCACTAATTGGACTCAATCAAAATTAATTTAAAATTCAATTTCAATTAGAAGGTTGCACTTTATGAGTAACTAAGTAGATTGATTTGGTCAATATGTCATTATTGACTTTATTTATTTTCTTAAGAAAACTATATATCATCTACTCTGACAAAACTGCACAGAGCACCAACCCTACTCTCTCTTAAATATGATGTATAGACTAGATCTACGATGACAAGAATTTGTTGAGATATAGATCAGCAAGTGTTAAATGCCAAAGTATCAATATGGGATAATTATGCTTCAAAACGATGTTTTTAAATGATTATGAATGAAATGAGACGATTCATAATTTTTTCTTGAGTATTTAAATGATGACTTCTTTTAGATAAATTTGGTCAATACTCCCAAACATTGGATTTGTTTTGTGTAATAAGTTGATGGTCCCAAATGAGGTAAAAGTCTAGTGGGGAGATGAATAGACTTTTAAATTTTTTTCGTTTATCAACCCTTTTACCTCTAACAGAGTGAGTTTCAATATCTTTTGAAAGATATTGAAACAATCAGCGGAAGTCTTAACCTCAAGAATGTGACACTTTGTATAACAAAGGTTATTATCATTTTAATTGTATGAGAGCTGAATTAAACAAGGTACAATGTGTTAGCCAAAACAAGCTTTCTCAAGGAGCAGGCTCCCGAATCCTCAAGGAGCGGGCTGCCAGAATTGTGAGAGCAGGCTACTGAACCTTTTAGGAGCAGGCTGCTGAATGAGGCTACTGCATCAATGTTTTGGGACACATAAAAAAAACTATGACATTGGACATTGTTTGACTTTTCATAACAGACTGAACACATACGTATGAAAGATTTAGACCTATTTAAACATAGATCTCTTTGAGGAATAAGGACCAAGGAACAAGGAGTTTGATACACAATAAACTAGATGGTTGACTAATCAGTGTTTTGAGTAAGCCGTTTTGTCTTGAAGAGTTGTGAAGGTGAGTGAGAACTGTAGTGTGTTCTGGGAACTGAATATATAACGTGACACAAGATATATAATGGTTTAGAGGTGGTGTAATCCTCTTATATCCGGTCTCAACCTCTTTCTGGTGGATTTCCACTAAATGAATATACCAATTACATTTAGTGCCCAATCTCTATGGCCGCAAGCATAGATTGTGAGGTTTTTCATAAGGAATTTGAACATGATTCCAAGCTACTCAGTCCTCCAAGGTAGGGCTGAGCACGGGTCGGGTTCGGGCGGGTCGGGTCTGCGTAGCTTAAACCCGTTCGGGTTTTTTAAGTTAAATACTAGGCCCGACCCTTTTGATATTTCAAATCGGATATTTTGGATATTTGTAAGTCGGATATTATTGGATATCGGATCGGGTTTCGGATATTTCGGTTATATTAAAAAAAATTATAAGTGGATAATTTAAGTGTTTGAATGCCCCTTTGACAAAAATCCTACAAACTAGTGCACTAAACATTCAAATTACGCAAATAATTTAATACACTTTGCATAAATAATTACACAAATAATTGAACATAAGTATTAATTTAACATATTCAAAGTACACACTACATAATTTGATATATTTTGAATATTTCGGTTATATTAAAACACATTATAATTGGATAATTAAAGTGTTGGAATGTCACTTTGACAAAAATTGTACACACTAGTGCACTACACATTCAAATTACAAAAATAATTTAACACAAATTGTACAAATAATTACACAAATAATTGAACACAAGTATTAATTTAACATATTCAAAGTACACACTAATATATTTCGGATATTCGGGCGGGTCGGGTTGGGATTTTACAAACCCTACCCGCCACCCGATCTAGGCCCAATACTAATCGGATTTTCGGTTTCGGGTTTTTCGGGTCGGATATCCATTTCGGTTCGGATATTATCCGAAAAAAACTTCGGGTTTTGCGGGTCGGTTCAGGTTTTGCTCCTAGAGACAACACAATATCTAACACGTCTAGCTCTCAAATATTCACGTCATTGCAGTTTAAGTTGAGTATTACCCCAAATAAGTCTAATACCCTCCAACGCTCATATAGGCATTGCCAATGACTACATGCCACTCAACCCAGCCCCAAAATGTGAAGTGCGAGCCGGTACCGTAAAGTAGGCGGTCAGATTACCGGGGCCTGTACCGTCATCAGGAAATTGATCCCCAGCCGGTCCTACACAGTACCGGTCCTGAGTTGGGCCGCCCGGATCTAGTCCATGCCTACATGTGGCTACATCATGTTCATTGCCAACTTTTCCCTCTAAGTTGGTAACTGCATTGTAGAACATAGCTCAACATCTCAAAAGGTCTCACATGTGCACCTCTATACGAATACTAACAAAATAATAACACATCTTGAGATTAATATTTCATCTTGAGAACATTAATTTCAACTTTTTTAAAACCAAAAGCTGAAAAATGTTTTTTTAATCTATAACAAACTTTCCCTAAGCACACACCGAGTACTTATAAATTACATTAAATACAATGTTTTTTTTAATTAAAATATTTTTATTTTAATATTACATTTGTGTAGTATATATTACATACTCCCCCGTTTCTAAAAGAAACTCACACTTTCCTTTTTGGGATGTTTCAAAAACAAAGTCACATTTTCCTTATTTTCTTATTTGGCAAAAACATCTACATCCAAACAGTGTCAAACAATGCGAAACAGTGTCAAACAGTGTTCAAACAGTGCCAAACAGTGTCTAAATAGTGTTTTCTACAGTAAAGTCAATTTACTTTCTTAGTAATCGTGACGTCAAACCGTGACTTTCTTTTAGAAACGGAGGGAGTAATATTTAAATTTGAAAGTAAATAAATATTAACAACTAATATTGGTGTTTGGCCCAGTTGAACCCCCGATGAGGACCCAATAAAAATAAACCTAGGTGTCCATTAATACCGGAGTCTTTTATCGGTTCACCCCCAACTCCAGAAACTTCTTCCCCAGCCCAGTCACAGACATTTCCCGCCTCGCGCATTCTCCCTCCCTCTCCGGTGCCATCGCGACTGAGGTCTCTCACCTATCATCCGTCGCCCCTACCAATAACTGGTCGCCATCGTCTTCTCCCTTCACAGTTCATCGCTCGCCAATACATCAATCTCAGGTTTGCGATCATTTCATTACTCTAGCCCTCATACTCATTGTCTCAATTCAATACTTGTACAGTTATACTTGTCGGACGACTCGCGCCGCTAATTGAATGATTTAAGCTATGGTGATTGATAAGGAGTGAGAAGATATGTACAAACAAATTCTTACTATACAATAATCGTCACTTAACCTATACTAATTATCAAGTTTCAAATCCAGAATACGTGCTATAAGCACATGCATCTTAATGATTGATCATCCCAACGACAACGCCACTCCTAAACTTTTGGGCTCTAGTCCACTTTCGTCTCAATTTATCTGTTCTCATCTAATATTTGTACATTTTCATTAATTAACTCCAATTTATTATGCTTAAGTGCTGTCTGGACTAGATTGGTAATAATTGGTACTCCGTATAATATAATTTTACTCTTGTCTTAGTCTAGTCTAGCTACTCGATCTACTAATTTAATAATGTCCTAGTCTTGGGCGATCTATTTTAGTTTGATCAAATTTGATCTTATTTAATAATTGGATGACGATTTTTCCTGGTTATCAGTTGGTCTACTATTCTTGAGCAGTTACAATGAGGCCCGGGCGTACAATGAAGCTTCTTGGGCGTAGACCCCCGCCCCCTCACAAAGGCCCAAATGCTAGAAGAAATTACAGAAACCAAACTGTGAAGTATATGAAGTATATGGCTGGAATGAGAATGAAAATAAGTGGGGAGCCGGCTGCCGCAGCTCCTCCGGCTGCCGCAGCTCCTCCGGCTGCTGAAGTCCCTCCCCCTGCCGAGGTCCACCCCCCTGCCAAAGAGATTGTTGAAGAGGAGGAACCTTCTCCGGAAGGGCCTCCCAGCCCACCCCATCATGTAAATCTTTTTTACTCTTTTTTTAAACCCGTTTTCCCCATTTTTTTTTAACTGATTTTTTTAAATATAGGTACAAGAAGGAAGCCCAGAGTGGAAGAAGCAAATCATCGCTAGTATTCAATCCGAGGTATGAGTGTTTCTGGACTTTCTTCCTTCTTTTAGAGACAAACCAAGAATTTGATATAATTATATGGTTGCAGGTACTAAAACATTCTGTTGCAGAGCGCCTCTCAAAGAGAAACAGAGAGATTGCACGGCAAAATGCTTCCGCTTCCACTGGCAGCAGCAGCGGGAGCAGCGGGAGCAGCGGAAGCAAGTGGAGGTGCAAGTGGAGGAAGAAGTAAAGAAGTCACTGGTCAGGTATTTCTGCAATTTATCTGCCTTGGCTTTACTAGTATGAGTAAAAAGGTGCCCTTAATTAGGTTCTGCTACATAAGAGTTCCTTTGGTAAGGGTGGATTAGGCTACACAAATGATGGTATTATGAGGTTGCTGCAATTATGAAAAAGGAAAAAGAAGAAAAGTGTGTTGTATTGATAAAATGACATAACAAATAAACTGTATGAGTGCTAAAGTCTAGTTGATTGTGATGAATGAGAAAATGGAAGCCTAGTCGATGGTTCTTCCCACGCAGATGTTGATTCTGCCTCAGTCTAATTATGTGGGGAGGTGTTGATGTGGCTGACTGGCTAGATGAAGTAGCAGTAGCATGTTGGTGCTGTTTTTACTTTGCTCTTGGTTAGCATGTTTTCTGTTGCTGGAAAACTCCCACTAATTAACTTTGCTCTCTTGCCAGGGATGATATGATTTGGTTGATACAGGGTTGATTGTTGCTGACATGCTTTGCTGCCCAATCCCGTGGATTCTTCACCATGTTTTGCAGGACTTAGTTTTTACTTCAAAGTTTCATGGGAGGACCTTGCCTGCCTATCTGAAAAATATTGATATGAAAATAAGACATTAGTAGGTGACATCCTTTGTTTCCCATACATAGGTGACAATGTGACATTACCGTACATAGAAAATTTTTGCTAATTCCAACTTTGAATTAGCATAGAAAATACCGTACATCCTTTTAAATATAAATTGCAGAGAGCCTGGGGGATCGAACAATAACCCACAAAGTTGATGTTTCAACTCTTAACCCACTACGGCACTGCATTTATTTGTTGTCTCAATTTATTTCGCTAACGTACATTTAGGTCAAACTAGTCTTGGACCCGGTTCAGGCCGCCCGGCCCGTGGACCAGCCCGGCCCGCTACTGTGCAGGACAGGGGCTGGCCCGGTTCTTGGGTCCGGTTCCGGGTCCGGTTCTGGGTCTGGGGTAGGCCTAGGTCTGATGGGGGGCGGGTCTGGGCTCGGGTCTTGTATTTGGCGAATTGATTTTTTTTCTCTCCACTTTTTGTGGTTCCACCACGGTTGGGCTTGATCGTTAGGAGGGGTTTGATGGGTTGGGGGGGGGGGGGGTTAGGGGTGGACTTGGGCCGGGTGCCCCGTCCTGGCCCGACGGCCCAGACGCCCGGTCAGTGACCTGTCCGGGTAAGCCTGACCCGTTGGGGGTCCTGTCCGGGTTCGGGCCCCCTTAAATCAGGCCCCCTTAAATTGGGTTGGGTATTTTGGTCCATTTGTGGTGGTTTGGGGGTGAGGGGGAGGGTTGGGGGTTAACTAGGAAAAGAAAAGGAAAAAATAATATAGCTAAGGCCCGGCCTGGCCCGGAATCGGGTGCTACCTGGGCCGGTTTCGGGCCCCCCATTCCTGAACCGGAGGCCCGACAGGGCCTAGGCCCGGCCCGGCCCGGGCCTGAACCGGCCCGAGTCCACCCCTAGGGGGGTGAGGGGAGGGTTAGGAAAGCAAAAAAAAATTATAACCAAACTGGAAGCCCGGCCCAGCCCGGACCCGGACCGGTCCCGGGTCCACCATTTCCGAACCGCTGGCTCTCGGGCTTAGGCCTGGACCCGGACCCAGCCTGGGCCCATCACTAGGTCAAACATATAATAGTGATTTTTTCACAAATCTATTCTTCTATTCTAATATAAAAGCAAAAGAAATTTGATGAAAAGTGTTCCCGCCTAGAAGTGTCAACATCAAGTTTTATTTTAAATTTTCTTAAAAAATAATTACAAATCAAGTATGTTGTGTTCCTATTGGTAAAAAAAGAGGTGGAAATAATTCACACAAAAAGGGAAATGATTCGTATAACATTCTTATAACATTCTTATAAAAAGGAGGCGGGCACTGTTCACACAAAAAGATACTTTAATTCTATTGGTTGAATTGGGTGGTGAGCTATAGTGAAAATAATTGAGTGTATCATATTCCTAACAAGTTGCAATGCAACACTTGGTTATAAAAGCAACCCTCAAGCATGAAGCTGCTGCAAGCAACTCCTACCGGTGTAAGGGTATCATCCTCCTGACTTAAGCTCTATTTCTTATCACATAATGCTTAGGTTCTGCATGATATATGTTTTATTTTCCATATTTTTGCGATATAAATTTATATGTTTTATAACTGATTGGCTTTTCTGCAGGTTTTATTTTTTTTTTTTTTTGGAAGGTGCAGGTTTTATTTATATTGTGTAAATATTACATTAACGACTTTGTTTTGACCCTAAGTGTGTTACATAATGCAGGGATCAAAGATTAGTTTTAGGTGCAACATAAAATAGAGAGCAAGTTGGTGGATCAGAATTTGTAGAGGTGATGTAGTTCTTTGAAGAAAAGATAACTGGATATATTTTATATTTCAAGGATGTAGTAAAATAAAAAAATTATGTTCAAACAACGGATTATGTACTTAAATTGAAGTTCAGACTTTTAGTTTGTGTAAGTTTATATACGGAGTATATATTTATTGAGTTTACGGATCTATGGCCTATGGGCCTCATGTATGTAAAATCTGCAAGTTCAAATACATTACGATGCAAATTAGTCAAATTTCACATCAGAAAAGTTAATTTATGGTCCCAACATATTTCACTTCAAATCTTTTCTTAATAAACAGTTCCAGTGAAAAGCTCTGGCTACCATTTCAATAAAAATGCTAATCTAAATCAACTAATGTTGTGGTAAGATCCTTGCTGCAATCTAACCGACTTGCACGTTGTAAAAAGTTAATTAGAAACAACAAAAAAGTTAATTATACGGAGTTCATATATAGCAGAAATAAAACTCAGCTAATGTTACCAATCTGAAGATCTGGGTTTAGCTTTAACACCCAATATGGCGATGCTATTCCAAATGGTACAACTCAGCGCCTGGATTTAGCGTATGGGTCGCAATAATTGTGAGACCGGCCTTGAAAGGGATGTGATGGAATTCGTTTTCACTGTTAACATCAGAATGATTTTTTGTTCTGAAGGTGTTCGATGAAGGAGGTGAACGGTGAATACTAGAGCTGAATTGGGTATAGAGGAGGATGAGAGTAGCGCCCGGGTAGATTTCTTACGCATTGAATAATGAAGGCGGTGGATAGTTTGATACATGGAAACCAACTTTGTATTTACAGGCTGAAAATTCATTGGGCCGTTATATTGGGCTTTAATACTGTGGATCTTCAAATGTAAACTTTAGCATAGTCAATGAAAACAAATGCTACTACCGCTAACAGTGGTGCCTTTGTATTTTATTCTACATTTTAAATTTTAAATTATTAATTATTTTTGTTTTCAATGGTTTCAAATGGTTTATCAGAAACGAGATAAAATTCCAGAATCTCTAGCAAATATTACATGCAACTATGTAATTCAACATTTACTTCTTAAAAAAACTTTACTTCCGAATCAATAAACACAACAATTGTAGCATGTATTATGTACCTATTATTTTTATTAGCCAAGTTTCTCAGATCTATATTTTGATTAAGTAAGAATCTTATACTCCCTTCGTCCTTGATAATTTTTTCCACTTTCCATTTTGGGCCCTCCCAAAAATTTCTTCCCGTTTCCCTTTTTGGAAAGGTTTGCGTGGCTATCATTTATTTACTTTTTTCTTACTTAACTATAACCATACATTTTCACGTTATTCACACTTTCTTAAACTCCGATCCAAGTCAAATTGGGAAGAATGTTTTGGGACGGAGAGAGTAATAATTAGTGTAAGTAAGGTTATAATTACTTTTCTGGCTAAATTGACTGAAGTTACTATAGAAGACCATTTTTATCTATTTTCTTATATAATTTTATATTTTTTTTATTTTTTATTAACAAAATACGAAGTATATTTTAAATATGACTTTCCACAATTCATTCAATTTAGTCTCTTTCATATTTTCAACAAATTCAATCAATTTAGTCAATTTCAATTTTGTCGACGGGCTCTATGAAAAATAGACAAAGTAGTCCACTACATGTCAATATTTATTTTTTATTTCACAAGTTTTTTTTAATTAAGGGGTCTTAGCATTTGCTTCTATTTTTAGAAGTTGTTTATAATTAAAAGTGATACATAGTAAAAGTGAAACTAATGATACCATTATTTTTTCATAAATGAAATAAATGATAGATAGTGTTTTTTCTAAAACGTTTGAAATAGTAGAAGGGAATATGCGAACATTTTATATGAATACATATTTAAGTATAGTTTAAAAATGACATAACACACTTTCACATATCTGCACACCCCCTGTTTTGCCGGTTAACACGAGCAATTCGTCTAAGAATGTGGTTCGTATAACGTAAAGTCACCCTATTACTTAGTCATTATAAATAATTCACCTTCAATGGATACGCACATATATATACCTTTGAAAATGGAAAATTCTTTCGCAAAGTCATTTGTGCACCACGAGGGTGAATCGCTAGCAAAGCATTTTACTACAAAGGAGGATTTTAATAAGGATTAGTGTGACACAAAAGGTTTTATTTCCAAAGCATCCTTGAGAGACATTCATAGTCGCGCGTGATTACAGATCATTCAAATCCCTGACTCCTGTGATACTTTTAAGAGATGTAGATCATTCACAAGGGTTGGAAATCGACTTATTCTAACAAAGATTGAGGATCATGTTTTGGAGTGTAAGATTTTAACTGGTATGAGTGCCAAGGAAAAAGTTTAGATCCGTAAGTTATCCCTAATCCCTTCATATGCTAGCTTGTCATTCAAATTTTAACGGTGATAATACATGATCATGACTTCTTATGCGATATTCTAAGTAAAAGTCAAGCCCATGGCTAGGAGCCCAAATCCACATTTTTACCTATAAATAGACCTCTTGGGGCTAGTTATAGGGGGTTGAGAAATATAATTACTCACTTTCTCTCTCTAGCTCTCACTTCTCTCTAGAATTAATACTCTATCAGGAGTTAATTTTTCTAACAGTGTTGGACGCCATGCCCCTGCTATGTTAACGGAATTGAAACACATGCCCCACTTTGTTAGAAAATGAAACACATGCCCCTATCTGAAAATGGCCCAAACCACAGGTACGTTTTCCCAAAACCTACACTAAAAATTAAATATACATGTTTCATAAAATCGGAATAATAAAAAGTTAGAACAATGTATATTTGATATAATGGGAATGTTTGGAACTGATTCTACTTCTGATTTTTTTTAAGCATAAGCATAATCAAAATCAGTTTTCATAAGCTGGTTTCTTTCAGCTTCAAGGAGTAAATTGAGCCCCAGAATTATTTATATACTTTCACCCAAACATTCCAGCTTCCGGGTTTCTGCTCACTGAAGAAGTAGAAGCAATTTTAAGAATCACATCCAAACACCCCCAATATGAAATATCTAACGAAACTGACTGATAAGAGTAACAATCCAAATTAATAAGTTAACTAGGCAGACACATAAAACAGGTCGAGAATAAGCTGAGATTCATTTCCAATGGCTAGAAATTGCAAAACTAATATATGAGAATAGCTTAACAGTATAGGGAATATGATAAACTCTATACATAAAGCTGAATTGCCGCAGTGACTTTGAAATCCACTGATCATCAGCAGCATATCTACAAGAATTTTATGAGGTCATGAGGATCATTAGATTCGAGAAAAGAATGTAGAAATGCCAGGCAACTTGTACATAATAGTGAGAGACAAATTAAATCACCTTTGTTAACCACGAGTTAAAACTCCATGAAGAGAACCCGCCACCCCGCGACGCTTATCCTGCATCATTTAAACAAAAGAATTTGGAAGTTTTTGGACATAAGCATACATGAGAGAACATGTAATTACAGATGCGCACCTTCTTCTCATTAAACAAGTCTTCTGCCCTAGCCTCCATTTGTTTTCTCTTCTTCTCCTCTTTTATAGATTCCACTACTTCATCGTTATTGTAGTCAGATTCTCTGCTCTCAAGCAAAATTAGTATTACTGATCATTGCGCAAAACGTGCTGATCTTGTAGCAAGGGTCAATTATATACTTATATACTCTGTTCTAAAAATCGTTCTAGGCATCCGACTAGTCCCCGCCTAGGCGCTAGGCGGTGGTCGGGCGCCCCGGTTTTCGCCTAGGCGCTCTGACTAATTAGTTTGCCGTCTAGGTGAATTAGTCGGCCGCCAATGGCGCCTAGTTGCCCGCCCAGAGCGCCTAATCGGCCACCTAGGTCGTCTAGTTTCACCGTACATTACTTTAATTACTTTATAATTTTAATTTTCTAAGCGATATAAGTACTTTAACTTTAGTCCCAGAGATAAAGAAATGAAGTTGCATATATTAAGATAAAGACTATATATTGTTGTATATATATGTACCTAAAATTTATTATTATTTATATTTATAACATAATAATGTCAAGTGATTAGTTATCATATACTATGTATGATTAGATGTGATAATTCCACCCAAGTATACAATATTACTTATCATATTTATGCAAAAATATAGATTAAATGCAATTTCTATATCTCCGACTAGTACCCGACTAGGCGTCCGCCTAGCCGCCTAGGTGCTAGGCGTTGGGCTGGCGCCCGACTAGCGCCTAGCGCCTTTTAGAACATTGCTTATATATGTACCTGTATGGGTGCTTTGCATATGGAATCAGGCTGCTATAGCTATTTCCAGATGGTACTTGTGTCTGCAATGTTACACCACGAGTGCACGAGTTAGAGAGTAATAAGTCAAGGGAAAACAGTCAAATAGATCCTCCTAGCTCAAATTCATCAATTAGACAGTTCTACAAACACTCAATCATACAAATAAAGGAGGTGTTTGGAACGGATTATGCTTCTGCTTCTTTTTTAAAGCAGAAGCAGAATCAGAATCAGTTTTCAGAAGCTGGTACCCCCAGCTTCTAAAAAAATTGATTCTGAGAGTAAATTAGAGCACCACAAGTGCTTCTGGAATTTCACCCAAACACTCCAGCTTCTGCTTTTGCTCCCTGAAAGAGCAGAATCAGTTTTGAGAATCAGATCCAAACACCCTCAAACACATTAATAACATCCAATTAGCATTGTTAAAACTTAGCAGGCTACTAACAAGTTCCCAAGTTACATTTGTCATATGATTGTCATATCAATGCCACATCACCCTAGTCACTGCCAACTCGTCATAATCTTGATGTTTTTTCTTTATAGCTTTTCTGGTTTTTTTCTTCTTTCTAGATTTAATGCCCAATGAGGAGATGAAGACCCAATTAGGTCAATTTGGAAGTGAATAAGGGTATGTCTGGAGGCCGTGAAATATTAAGGAAAAATAGGAGATAGAATGTGAGGAAGCCAGAGGGGGGGGGGGGGGGGGGGGGGTAAAAAAATAACATAAATTCAAAGAAGGTAGTTTTAAAATGTTTGTTGACAATCATTTTAATTTATTTACATCTCTTATATAAAGGCTAAGAGCCTAAGAGATATAAACATATGTAACACTTTAAATAAATAACTATAGCACTATTCCATTTTCTAATGTACAACCATAAGAAAATAACTATTACCATTTTTACCTTTTCCTTGCATTAAATACAACAACACCCTTGCATTTAATACTACGTATTAAAAAAAAAGTTTACCTTTCTGAAGCGTTTAAAATTTGCAACTCCAACATTTGAAGCAGATTTCACTTTAGCTGTCAAGTTACATTCTCGAATGATCAAATCTTGGCTGAATATAATATCTGAATTCCCACTTTCAGAGTTGTCAATTTTAATTCTTGTTGACATTTTACTACCAGTTTTGACTCCTGACATCTTGCTGCAACCCTCTTCCAACTTATCAGCAGAAGAATTGTTTTCTGGAATTTCACGATCTTCATCATGTTTGGTTGATTTTGCTGAGACATAACTAGTACCCCTCCTTTGATCATCTTCTATTGGCTTGATAAATGGCATAGAATGATCATCTTTGATTGATTTTGATGTGACATAACTAGTACCCCTCTTTTGATCATCTTCTATTGGCTTGATAAATGGCATAGAATGCTCATCTTTGATATAATTTTCCGGAGATTCAATAACATGTAAGGCTGTTGTTTCCTTGTTGCCTTCATCATCAGAGTCTAGTACACATAATGGAACAGCATCACGAACTGATTCAGTGCTACATTCTGTTTCTGCCTCTGAATCTGCTACGACAGTCTCGTCCGTGGAGCACGAAGATTAGACTTTCACTAGTTAAAGACAAGCAATTGGCAAATATATCAGCAAAAGAAACGATAAAAGATTCTATCATAGAAACAAAAATCACATATTGAATAAGATGTTGTGATGCAGACCAGTGAAGGTCAAGACTGAAGAGGCCATTCCAGGATGTGCATAAAATTTGAGCTAAAGCTTAACATGAATTGTATGGTGCAAATTATTTTTCAAAAGTTAGGTAACAATGTGGCTACGTGAATCCCTGAAACAGCTAGGTAAAGGAAAGAAAATGTTAAAAGGGAGGTTGTTTTCTCATGTTTTAATTTGCCTGAGAAAATGGAAAGTAAAGTGAAATATGATTAATGCTTTTAATTTTTTAAAATTCTACATATGTTTAGATTGCTTAGTATATATTTACATAATAAGAATAAACAAATAAAAATGAATTCAAAAAAATAACAAAACGAATTATATTGAGTTTCAACCAATGATTCATTATCTTTAATATTTTCTTAACTTCCAAACTTCTCCTATATTTTCCTCTCTATTTTGATTTCTAGAATCTTCAGGGATCTAAAAGCACCCTATCAATTCACGCAAAAGAAAACATAGTTACAAAGTTGTATGCACTATGCCCAATAACTAGCTAGCATTAACCTGGCATTTTTTATTTACATGAGTTGAAACTAGGGGTGGAAATAGGCCAGCCGGCCTGTCAGGGGCCTGTGGCCTGGCCTGTTAAAGGCCTGGCCTGGCCTGTTTAGTAATCAAGCTAGGCTAGGGCTTTTCTAAAAGCCCGTTTATTTAAATAGGTCAGGCCTAGCCCAACTCTAAAGCCTTTTTACCTTAATAGGCCGGCCTATTTATGTGTGTGTGTATGTATTTAGTTATATTTATATTTATTTGTATTATTTATATTTATATTGGTATACTCAACTATATCCAAATCAGTATAATGGTATTTTTAGGGAGTGTGTATTATAAATTAGAATAGACTGCTTTTTTAAACATATATAAAGTGTGTTAATAGTTTATTAAGGTAATTGAAATTCAAAGTTTTTTAAGAATCAAAGTACATAGAAATTTATAAACTACATAATAATACTCCATAATAATGTATTATTAGACATCCAAAGCAAAACTAACATATTATTAGACTTTTTAGTGAATATTTGGGGTAATAAATTTTATACCGGATTAAAAGGATTTTTCACTTTTCATTTTGTATTTTTTTTGAAATTTTATTTTTTTCCTTAACAGGCCCGGTAAACAGGCTTCAGGCCAGGCCAGGCTTTTAAACAGGCCAGGCCCAAGCCGAAAAAACAGGCCTTTAACAGGTAACAGGCCAGGCTCAGGCCTATATTTTCTGAAACAGGCCTGGCCTGTTTAGGCGAAAGCCTGGCCCGGCCTTTTTCCACCCCTAGTTGAAACAATTTAAACCTCAATAAGCTCTCTCCTATACCCAAAATGCAATGTCATACATCATCACATAATAAATTACCCTGTATTTTGCAGACACAACACATCCTACAAACATCTGAATTCTGAAAATATTCACAAAACCTCTGTTCTAAATATCGGACTAGATACCCGCCAAGGCGCTAGGTCATTGCTCGGCATCAGTAACGTAATGAATTAATTAAACCCAATCCATACGATGAAGTTATGGGTGATAGAAAGGAGATTAAGGAAATGTATTTATATGTATCAAAGAATCATTCTGTATTTATGCCTGGACGATCAACCACATAAGCGATTATCTTTTTGGACAACTAATGAAATACTATCCGGCTACAAAGAAAGATGGATTTGTTGACTCATGGATCTGATATTTCGATTACAAATAAAGATGGATTTTTTGTTCTTTATAGATTAAGAAAAAACTCGCTATAAGGTAATCAAATAATTCCATTGGTGAGCTATGAGAAATAAGGGTGTATCACTAAAAAAATATTGATAGAACACATACCCATCAGGCTCCCACGCTCAAACAACGAAGAATGACACTAGAACCATTGCTAATGGATGAGTTGTCTAGTACTAATAAAAAGGGCTATTGTGGTGTATGTTTTACATACACAATAGTCATTAGTACGGAGTACCATCTACCATGTTTATTTGATGAATTCAGAAGGGTTAAATGCGAAGTGGGAAAGATGGAAAGATGAAGAGGTCAATTAGCATAAATAGAAAAATGTTTGGAGAGCAATTCAACATTTCAACATCATTGAAGATATTTAGAAACAAGTAGAGCAAAGTCGGATGGATAAGAGCTACCACTGACCAATAGTTTCAAGTAATAATGCAAGAGACATGATTAATGCATGTTGGTTAAAGTGGTACGAGCGACAAGAATGTTATGATATCATAATGTTATGTACAAGTAGCATGGCATTTCTACATTCTTTTCTCGAATCTAATGATCCTCATAAAATTTTCTCCTTGTAGATCTGCTTTTGGTTATCAACTTGGTTGTGACAGGATTTTACCGATTAGATTCAAAATATGCTGCGATCAGTGAATTTCAAAGTCACTGCGGCGATTCAGCTTTATGTATAGAGTTTATCATATTCCCCATACTGTTAAGCTATTCTCATATATTAGTTTTGCAATTTCTAGCCATTAGAAATGAATCTCAGCTTTATTCTCGACCTGTTTTATGTGTCTGCCTAGTTAACTTATTAATTTGGATTGTTACTCTTATCAGTCAGTTTCGTTAGATATTTCATATTGGGGTGTTTGGATGTGATTCTTAAAATTGCTTCTACTTCTTCAATGAGCACAAACGGAAGTTCGAATGTTTGAATGAAAGTAATTAAATAATTATGGGGCTCAATTTACTCGAAGCTGAAGGAGATCAACTTCCAAACATTCCCATTATACCAAATATACTTTGTTCTAACTTTTTATTATTTCGGTTTTATGAAACATGCATATTTTATTTTTAGTGTAGTTTTTGGGAATTATTTTAATGTAGTTGAAATACAAATAAGTTATGCATAGGGATGGATTGGGTCCAGGTCGGGTCTTGGGCTGGTCAATTTTTTGGGAGTAGGCCTGGTACTGGCCAGGGTTGGTTCTGGGGCCGGGTCGAGTTGTATATATTCTTTTTTTGTTTTCCTTATTTGTTCCTACCCCCTACCCCCAAACACCCCCAAACCTTCCGCTCAACCTGCCTACAATCCCCCTAGTTCGGGCCCCAGGCCAAGTCCCGGTCAATCGGGCTAGACCGATATTGCACAGTGGCGGTCCGGGCCAGGTTTTGGGCCGGTTTGACCGGTCTCGGTCCATGCCTAGTTATGCAATCACTTTAGGTCACTTTATAATTCAATGACTGAATGACATCATTATGACACATTAAAAAGGGAACGTGTTTGAAACTCACCCTAATTAAGGATATTTTTTAATTACAAAAAATACTACGTACTCCGTATAATAATAATAATAATAGTAATAATAATATACTTCCTCCATTCTTTTTTAGTTGCAACGGTCAACATTTCACACTTGCCAATGCACGTCTTTGACTATAAATATATCTTAATCTCTATTAGTAAAAAATATTTAAAAATTAGATTTTGAAAATTTGTAATGAGATAAATTGAACAATATTTTTTTAAAAAAAAAATTCATAAAATAATACTATGTAATATAAAATGTAGTTAAAATAGAACATGTGAATAATGTAAAATTCAACATGTTGCAATTAAAAAGAGACGGGGATAGTAACACTCGAGTAAGTACAACAATCAAAGTTATACACTGCTATGTACGTAGTATAAATGATCTTTTAGATGCGGAGTATTATTGCACTTGTCCCGAAAAGGGAGTGACATTTGACGTGGGTATAATATTAAGAGTTCAGTTACATATGTAAAAGTATAATGAATCCTATTACAAAAAAAAAATGAATCCTATTGATACTTTTGAAGTTTTATTTAACGGTTAGCTACATTTATGATGTGTACGTGTCTATTATTATTATTATTATTATTATTATTATTATTATTATTATTATTATTATTATTATTATTATTATTATTATTATTATTATTATTACTATTATTATTATTATTATTATTATTATTATTATTATTATTACTATTATTATTATTATTATTATTATTATTATTATTATTATTATTATTATTACTATTATTATTATTATTATTATTATCATCATTTAATAAAGTTATATGCTAAATATCATCGTTTTTAATAGAAAACGGTTTTTGAGAGAAATATATTGAGAATTTACCCTAAATAAGACTAAAAACGTTTGTAAATTCTAAAATGGGACTGTTATGTTTTTAATTCCCAAAATGAGACTAATTATTGTCATGTTTTGGCAGTACCGGACTTTAAACATGGCAGTATTTTCCAAACTTGACAGTAATTACTCCTATTTTGGGAATAAAAACATGACAGTCCTATTTTGGAATTTACAAACGTTTTTTATCCCATTTCAGGAACTTTCCCAAACATATTTGGAACAATATTCCATTTTTAAGAATAAAGGCCTTGATGGGACACCATGTGATTAATGACATGCAAGCACGGGTACGGGAAAGATGAACTTTCTGACCTAGATCACTGAACAAAAGAAGTCATTGCTTAGATTTCGTGTCAAATAGCTTGTGTTAAACTGTTTTTAACACGAACTTGACATATCTTTGCCAAAATTCCTGCTAAATTTGGGGAATACATGTTAAAAATATCTGCCGATCCGGTATTTTTTGTAGTCATAATGATACCCTACTCAAAACAATATTTTCAATGATGTCATAAATGATATCGTACTAAGAATCAATGGGAATGGCCATGGTGAAATCACATAAACTATTACGTAGTAGTATATCACTTCATAATGGAGCCATTTTAAAACGAGCTTCAAAAGTTCAGTTTTTTTTTTATTTGTTTGTTTGTTTTGTTAACGTTGCTTGATTGCATAGTTTTGCACTTTTGCTACTGATTTTCTGAAGATAGGGGATGGTTTGGAAAGAATGACGAGAGTACAACTCCCGGGTCCTGATATGATAAAAATAGGCCGGAGCAAATACCGTATGGACTAAAAAGAGATTAAAAAGGAGATGAATGGACTTAAATGCCCCTTAGCCCTAACAACCCATCCGCTCGCCATTTTCTGGATCAGGAGCTGCGCCTTCTTCTTCCCTGCTTTGAATTGGAGACGCCATCACCAGCAAGAGGAGGATCATCACCGCTGCCCTCGCCTTCGCCGTCTCTGTTGCCTTCTCCGTCGCCATCGATCGTGCTCCGCCTTCGTCGTTCTGCTTCTTCTTCTCCTACTTAAACATCGACAACTTGGAGTTAGTTGCGGCGGCTTCACTCCAGCTCTGATCTGGACAGTTGGGGTTTTGGCTACGATCTGTTTGGATTGGGCGGTGGTGAGGCTAGTACGCCGGCGGCAGGTGAAGTGGTGCAAAAATTGACGCGGCGGGGGTGGCGAGGGAGGGCAGGGCTGGGGTGGTGTAGGAGATGCGGATGGGTGAGGCATGGGGTTGGGTGACCCAAGGTGAGCAAAGGGTTTTTGGTTGGGTCACGCAGGGGCTGGGGCTGGGTGAGGTGGGGGCTGGGGCTGGGTGACTCAGGGGGCTAAGGACGACGACAGTGGTTTGCCGAAGGTGGCCGAAGGTGGTAGTAGCGTTGGTCACTATCGGGTCGGGTAACTGTAATTAGAAGGGTCGGGTGACTGTAATTGACGGGTCGGGTAACTGTAACTGGACTAATCGGGTAATTGTAATTGGGTACGGGATCGAGTAACTGTAATTGCGGTTAGTGTAATTGTAACTGAATGGGTCGGATAATTGTTACTGGATGGATCAGGTAATAGTAATTGGATGAGCCGGGTGGTCACTACCCGGGTGGTAAATGGGCAGTTGTAACGGACTGATATTTAATTTTTGGTCACTGTCGGGTTTTGGACTTTTTGTCACTGGCGGTTTTTTGGTCACTAGCGGATTTTTGGTCACTGGCGGATTTCGGTCATTGATGGATTTTGGTCACTGGCAGATTTTGTAACTATGTCATTGGTAATTGTAACATTGGTCACTGCACATTAGGTCACTGTGGCAGGTTACTGTAGCATGCCAGTGGGTTTGGGCTTAGTAAGGGTGTAACAGTCCCTTAAGTATTATTTAGTCTTATTTTTGGAACTTAAAAGAAAAGTCTCTTTTTTTGTCCAAATGCTTTTAATTAGTATTATTTGAGGACAAACCCCATAGTTTTGTGTGTAAAACTGTAAACCGAGCTGCCTCATCTAATCATCTTTGCCTCTTTGGTATGAACTTTCAATTTTTTGGTTTCACTTTTCCGCTCAAAGATGAAACATGCAAGCACGGGTACGGGAATTGTTTATTTTTGTTTGACTTTATAGGTTGTATTTTTAGATTAAAATAATTTTTTAATTGTCTCTCCAAATATGACCATCTAAACATTATGAAAAAAATTATTTCCTCGTTATTTTCCAATGCTAATGGGTGGAATTGAATGGAGGTAGTAATAATTAGGGATGGACCGCAACCGGGCCGACCGGCCCGGCCCGGTAATGTTTTGAATCGGCCCGGCCTGGTACTGTTTTGAATCGGCCCGGACCCGATAATCGGGTCCTAGACCGGTCCGGGCCTACCCGGCCCAGATGTTACCTAGAGCGGGCCCGGGCCATGTAAAATAGGAAGTATAAATGTGATTAGTGATAGCATATAGTAAGAGCATCTCCAATGCTAAAACGTTAACGGTGCATACGTGGCATGGAAAATAACCAATTAAAAAACAATAAATACAATATCTCTCTCCTTATTTGAAGGATGTTACATCATTTTGGTAAGTTTTTCTTCACAATGTCAAGCACAATGTCTAGATGTAGACATTGTGATTGACATTGCAGACAAAAACTTACCATAAACACATAAGACCGTGGAAAGAAGGAGAGATATATTGTATTTATTGTTTTTTAATTGGTTATTTCTTATGCCACGTATACACCGTTAACGCTTTAGCATTGGAGATGCTCTTAGAGCATCTCCAATGCTAAATAGACAGACTAATATAATGGGTGAGTCACCTAAATAAATCGTCACACGCTTTGTTGTACCTCAAAAGTCAAGAATATTTGGTGAATGTTCACAAAGTAAAAAATATCCAACTCTTGATCCAAGATTAGATCCTCATATTACTTGTCAGTTTACTTTTATCTACGGAGTA